TCGTCGTGCGTCGTGTGTCGTGCGTCGTATGTTAACATTTGAACATTTTCAGCTTCTTCTCTGAAACCACTGAACCAATTTCAACCAAATTTGGTATACAGCATCTATGGGTGGAGGGGAACAAAAATTGTGAATTTCATGGTCCCCGCCCCCCCCCCTCCCCTGGGGCCTGAGGGGGGGCAAAAACCACTTAAATTAATGAAATCTTTAAAAATCTTCTTCTTTACTCCTGGACATCAAGCAGGCAAACTATTGGCATGAATGTAATGAGCATTGAGTCATCTACCAAAATTGTGAAATTCATGGCCCCAGGGTCAGGGGTTCTAGTGCTAGGGTGGGGCTCTATAGATTATAAAGTGAAAATGCATTATTTCTTTGAAAATCTTCTTCTCTGCTCCTGGGTATTAAATGCACTAACTAAGCACATAGTTATGATGAGCAAGAGTGCCTCTTCAAGATTTGTGAATTTCATGGCCCCAGGGTTCAGGCGTTCTGGTGTTAGGGCTGGGCTCTATAGATTATACAGTGAAAATGCATTATTTCTTTGAAAATCTTCTTCTCTGCTCCTGGGTATTAAATACACTAAATAAGCACATAGTTATGATGAGCAAGAGTGCCTCTTCCAGATTTGTGAATTTTATGGCCCCAGGGTCAGGGGTTCTGGTGTTAGGGCGGGGCTCTATAGATTATATAGTGAAAATGCATTATTTCTTTGAAAATCTTCTTCTCTGCTCCTGGGTATTTAATAAACAAATTAAGCACATAGTTATGACGAGCAAGAGTGCCTCTTCCAGATTTGTGAATTTTATGGCCCCAGGGTCAGGGGTTCTGGTGTTAGGGCGGGGCTCTATAGATAATATAGTGAAAATGCATTATTTCTTTGAAAATCTTCTTCTCTGCTCCTGGGTATTAGATAAACTAACTAAGCACATAGTTATGATGAGCAAGAGTGCCTCTTCCAAAATTGTGAATTTCATGGCCCCAGGGTCAGGGGTTCTGGTGTTAGGGCGGGGCTCTATAGATAATATAGTGAAAATGCATTATTTCTTTGAAAATCTTCTTCTCTGCTCCTGGGTATTAAATACACTAAATAAGCACATAGTTATGATGAGCAAGAGTGCTTCTTCCAGATTTGTGAATTTTATGGCCCCAGGGTCAGGGGTTCTGGTGTTAGGGCGAGGCTCTATTGATTATATAGTAAAAATACATCTATTCTTTGTAAATATTTTTCTTTGCTTCTGGGTTTTAAGCCAATGATCCAAGTATATATATATTTATGATGAAGAAAGGTGCCTCTAGCAAAGTGGTTTTTAATGCCCCCAGGGTCAAAGGGGAGGGGGGTGGTTACATAGCCTGAAAATAAATTAATGCTTTGAAATCTGCTCTTTGGTATTAATCAACCATTTTATGATAAAATTTGCAAAATTTTGAAATATATGGCCCTGGGTCAGTGGTTCCTTTGGGGTGAGGTGCACAACTGGTTATAAAGTGGAAGTGCATTTTCTCTTTGTTACTCTGATCTACCTCTGGGTATTAAGTAAATAGAGTAAGCATGCTAAGTTAATAATTATGATAAGCAATGGTGCCTCTTTCAAAATTGTAAACTGTGAATTCCATGGCCTCCGGTTTAAACACGAACCAAATTTAATTGTTTGAAAGTTGTTGCACAATACTCAGGTGACCTATAAGGCCCGTGGGCCTCTTGTTTTAATGTTTAAAATCTCACAATGGCTAGGTTTTATGACGTCTGAATTGCCCTATACTGACGTCACAGTCAATGACACTAATGGAAGAGGAAAAATGAAAAAAAGTATAATAAGTAGTCGAAAGTATTTGAAATTTATTCCACTCTTAAGGAAGAATTGGTGAAAATTTTCCACTCAGCTATGATTCTTAATCGTAAAATATGGTACAACCTAACAATTATATTTTCCTTTTTTTAGAAGGATATGTCATTAAGCCCTAGCCTTTGTATACCATTTTTGAGATAAACACTCTTAATTCATTATAATTTTATACGTGTCAAAATATAACAGATTTGAAATATTGAATGTTTTCTTCACTGGACAAATTTCCTATTATACATGTATTTTTAATTAAAGCATTTTTGTGATGTAACCTTTTGTTTGTTTATATCCAGTATATTTAAGAACGCCCACTTAAAAGAATGTCAGTCCATTATTTTATCGTACCATTCCAATATTAAATCCTTCCAGTTCAATATTTTTTCCTTTCAGTTCAATATTTAACAAAATTTTGGATTTGAATTTGTGGATTGAACTGAAATTAATGAAAACCGTAAACAAACAAATTAAATTGATGATTTAGTAGAAATGAAGAAAAGGGAATAATCACATTGAAATGATATTTAGTAAAATTACAGAAAAGGGAATAATCACAACAAATCACAAACGCATTTGTACAGACACATCGCAAGCATTGATATTCATTTCTTTTGAAGCACTATTCCAAGCAGCAGCTCCGTCATTTTCAACGAAAACCTTCTTCCACTTAGAGTGCACAACGTAACTCACTTCCTTTATATGCTCCGTTGATGAACGTTTGAAGACCCTGACTGCATTCGAGCGATGCCTCGTCTTTTCTTCAATTAGTTGTTCGTCAACACCGGCTTGTTACGGTCCTGTAGCGGCGGTAGTCCTTTAAGAATGATTGGTAATATTTCCATGAAATCCAGCTGCTTTACATAATTTTCCTACAACTTACTGAAGCTGATAAACCCCTATCGGCCCGTCTTCGAGCCATACCGGTTTCGTAGCACTCTGTTTGGGTCGTAGTTACAACGCCGTCGATTTTCCATCAGGTAGTCTAAAAAAAATGGAAATAATATAGAGTACGCAAAAAAAGGAATATGCAACTTTACAAAACTTTTTTTTCAGAACACTGCATGCATCATGAAGTATACATGATATGTTTGTTAAATAACATACATGAAAGTCTTGTTCGAAATAATATGCAGATAGCAATATTCTCACCTTAAACTGAAATACTTCTAAAAAAATTTAACAAGGTTTCGTTAAGGCTCATCCACATTTTCATATGCCCTGGTGACTTTTGACGCAATATTGCGCTGAATTAACCCTTTGGTGCTGCTTTTGGATACATCCTCTGTGTATTGGGATTACCGTCTCCCGTCATCTTTGGACATGTGTAGTGATAATTGAGAAGTTGTATCAATTCGAAAATTCCGATGTTCTTGCCCGGCACGGAGAGCAAATTGTAATCCGATACTGTATTATAAAGTATCGAACAATTTTTTGGCAGTGTCAGTTTCAAGAATCCCACATATCGATCGTTTTCCTGTTCCGCTGAAATAATATCGGCATGTTTACGATTGATCCTGATTCCTTATCTTGATAATTCTTTCATTTTTGCATCTAACACTGATTGCATATTAACAAACTCAGTATCATTCAGATACTGCTAGCTCGCAGAATATGTGGTATAGAAATAACAATTTCATAAAGGTTGTTCGGGTGTTATTCTCCGCCGTATTTGTTATGAGCTTCAGCGATAAAAAAAATCCATAGCTTTATCTAACGTCATATTGTCCATGGTCATATAAGTTCCCCACCACAAAAGTTGAATTCAGTCCTTCCGTAATCTGTGCTATTTTGTTTCCTTTTTCTTTCTATTCATCAAATACCTTCACAGCCCATTTAGCTTTATTTTCGGTGTTTTTGGACTTCATAAATTGGACTAACCTTATTAGTTCCGCCTGTTGAAGGGGTTTTGAAAATCGAGATGAAACACACTCCTTTGTCAACACCCTATTCTTAATCTCCTGGAAAGCCTTTATTAGTGACAATTTATCACCTTCATAGTCCGATATGTCAGAAAATGAAGGATTTTTACAAATAACAGAGAAGCATGTAATTCAAAATTTGCATGGGAGTTCTCAAGTTCAAGAATGCCTTTCAAAATGGCATCAGTGTCATTATCGGATTTATCGCTGGTGGTTCTGAAAGAACATTGAGTCTTAAAAATCTCAACATCACTCATCGTGCTGACTGAATGAAATTAAGGGTACGATGACTTAAATTGAAGACTCGGGGGGCGTGTCCTACGTAAAGTCTATTGTTATAATACTTGACAGAACTGACCGTTGCATATCCATTGTTGTAATATTAGACTGTAACATTTACTGGGGCTCCCAGAAGATGATTGTAAATAAGTGAAGGAAAACAATAAAAGAGTGGCATTCATTAAGACAAAACAAGTGTATTTGAATTTATCTCAATACTTAAAAATGTTTTAAGTAAGATAAAAGCTTCATACGGATAATAATGAAAAATATTGGACTTGCGTTGTCGCTTTCGCGCCTCAGCGAATCCAATATTTTTCATAATGAACCGTTTTCAACTAATATCCAATGCTTTAAAATATAAGGATGAAAATTAGACATTTTTTTAAAGCTATTAAATTGGTAAAGTTATGTGTCCTTGAAGTAAGAGAGAAAACTTTTAATTTCTCAAAATATCCGTGCAAATGATTCAATTTATTTCATAGTTTAATAAAGAGAGATTTTACGCATATTTACAACAAGAGATTTATTTGAAAATCAAATTACCATTTACAAATTACTATTCAAAATATCTTTTTAAAAAATGTCCATAGATATCAATGTTAAATTCAAGATTTAATTAATTGGCCAATAATCAGAACTTGACAAATTCTTCGGGGCGAGCATTCTCATTTATTTCATTGTACACACTGACGCGTTGGTTGACAATGGTTTTCCTTGGGGTGTCAATTTCAACTGTTACCCTCCAAAACAGGCACCATTTATATAATGTGAAATTATAAACATCTCCAAATAATCATGCAACTATGATATTTTATATAATAATATAAAATCAGGAAGATGTAAGGATTGAACGAATGACTGGCACGGAAAAAAGGACATTAGATTTAAGTTCAAATTAATTCACTTAGTCGTACTCAGGAAATGTTAGCTACATGTACATATTTCATTAAAATATTTAAACAGACGAGGACATGTCATAAGCCAACCTTCAATTTTGAATTATGAGATATCTTCCTATAGTCTCAGCTCTTTTAGAATTTTTGAAACTGATAAGATTGTCTTCCTTGTCAAACTGCAGTGGGTAAGTCATAGTTGTATCAGACTTCAGTCCCTACGTATCATGTATCCATTTTTTGGACTGAAATATTAATATTAATACTAACTAAAACAATATAAAAGAAGAAATGGAATCGTTTTTAATATATTGCTTATCATTATACAAATGTATTATAGATTTGATGGTACTTCAGTTTGCTGCGCTGGTTATGTTTGGAACAAGGCTGTAGGCAATTGTACCCGTATGTTTACACTACAATCTGTTTCCTAATTAGGCTACCTACAGTGGCTGGAACGTTATTGTTGACAACTTAAACGAACGATCACGTTACACGCACGATTCCGCACGATTAACGCACGATTAAACCTGATACACGAACGATCCTTCACGTTCACGATTCTACACGTTACACGATCTTACACGATTGCTAACGCAAACGCACGATTCTTCACGCAAAATAGTTCAAATTATTTAGGAATCGATATTTCCAAAACGAAATACAGCTTTTTATTGATTTTAGATTCAAAGAATTATCAATAAATATATTTTTTCATCGACTTTGAAAAAAAAAACGGAAATGCGTATTTCTGATACTAAATACATGTGAGATTTTTTTTATTATTATTTTAGATAATAAATAATTATTTACATAATTCTCCGACATAAGAAGACGGATTTTTTTGTTATATCAGAAGAAAGTAGTAGGTGGACCCTAAAATTTGATTGAATTGGATTTCATAATATGTAAATTGAGGGATACGATTGGGAAAACAATGGCAGCATGAAATGACTTAACTTAAAAGTTATAGCTATATGTTTTCATTACTTAAAAATGTTTATGAATCTCTAAAACATGAAAAACGACATTGCAAATTATTGTATTACTTTAAAAATTAATTAAAAGTAAGCTACAGAGATAAACACTGTTAAACAAAACCCCGAAAATCATGTGCGTGACGTGCATGTACATTCGCCGACTAAACATTTATGTAAGGTTTGAAAAATATTTCTTTATTTGTAAAAAAATTTTTCTTTTAGATTATTTGAAAATTTAAAAAATATATATCTTACCATAATTAGCAGCAAACAAGAATGAACTTCAGAAAAATATAGTAAAACATCTTAGTACGGTTTATCACAATAAGTCACGCTATACGAGAACATAATATTGTACGACTTACTATATTGCTTGTTTACAAGAAATAGTTAGTTCGTTCCGCATTCAATTATGTAAACTGCGCTTCATTCCTTTTATTAGGATTAAAAAAATAAAATATAAACAAAATACTTGTTTCACAGATAACATTCCGATAAAAACTTACAAAACGAAATTTACACGTTTCTAAACGCACGTTCACGCGGGATTAAAACCGCAAACGATGGAGTCTGTTACACGCACGATCTTGCACGTTACACGAACGATGGCGCACGATGCACGAACGATTCTACACGATTGGTTTGTCAACAATAACGTTCCAGCCACTGCAGTGGCTGGAACGTTATTGTTGACAACTTAAACGAACGATCACGTTACACGCACGATTCCGCACGATTAACGCACGATTAAACCTGATACACGAACGATCCTTCACGTTCACGATTCTACACGTTACACGATCTTACACGATTGCTAACGCAAACGCACGATTCTTCACGCAAAATAGTTCAAATTATTTAGGAATCGATATTTCCAAAACGAAATACAGCTTTTTATTGATTTTAGATTCAAAGAATTATCAATAAATATATTTTTTCATCGACTTTGAAAAAAAAACGGAAATGCGTATTTCTGATACTAAATACATGTGAGATTTTTTTTATTATTATTTTAGATAATAAATAATTATTTACATAATTCTCCGACATAAGAAAACGGATTTTTTTGTTATATCAGAAGAAAGTAGTAGGTGGACCCTAAAATTTGATTGAATTGGATTTCATAATATGTAAATTGAGGGATACGATTGGGAAAACAATGGCAGCATGAAATGACTTAACTTAAAAGTTATAGCTATATGTTTTCATTACTTAAAAATGTTTATGAATCTCTAAAACATGAAAAACGACATTGCAAATTATTGTATTACTTTAAAAATTAATTAAAAGTAAGCTACAGAGATAAACACTGTTAAACAAAACCCCGAAAATCATGTGCGTGACGTGCATGTACATTCGCCGACTAAACATTTATGTAAGGTTTGAAAAATATTTCTTTATTTGTAAAAAAATTTTTCTTTTAGATTATTTGAAAATTTAAAAAATATATATCTTACCATAATTAGCAGCAAACAAGAATGAACTTCAGAAAAATATAGTAAAACATCTTAGTACGGTTTATCACAATAAGTCACGCTATACGAGAACATAATATTGTACGACTTACTATATTGCTTGTTTACAAGAAATAGTTAGTTCGTTCCGCATTCAATTATGTAAACTGCGCTTCATTCCTTTTATTAGGATTAAAAAAATAAAATATAAACAAAATACTTGTTTCACAGATAACATTCCGATAAAAACTTACAAAACGAAATTTACACGTTTCTAAACGCACGTTCACGCACGATTAAAACCGCAAACGATGGAGTCTGTTACACGCACGATCTTGCACGTTACACGAACGATGGCGCACGATGCACGAACGATTCTACACGATTGGTTTGTCAACAATAACGTTCCAGCCACTGTAATCAAATCATAAAATTAAAATTTCATTATCTTAATTTAAAATAATTTTCATTTCAAAAGCTTGTACTTCGGGCTTTCATGGACCAGATTGCAATGTTCCCTGTCCGTACCCATCTTTCGGAAAAGACTGTCAGTCCTGGTGTAACTGTAGCAAATTTAAATGTGACCATCAGCTGGGATGTAGGAAAAATCCTCAAGGTATCCCCTAATTTTATTATCTAATATAATAAATTTTAAGGCTGATATTGAAACATAAAGTAGGGTGCATTCATTTTAAGATTGTGACATCGGGTATTATGGATACTTTTGCGAGGATCGATGCAGATATTCTAATTTTGGGTATATGTGTCAAGAAAACTGTAAATGTGAGCAGGATATGTGTCACTTTGTAAAAGGATGTAAACATACTTTAGCCAGTTCAGTCACTGCAGGTACTGTTCATATAGTGTGACATAGAAGTCTGAAAGGATTATTTTTTTTTACTTAAGTATACATATATTTCTCCCCGCCTTTACTTTAAGTAAAGTGTTTTTAAGTCCATTATATATATTATAAGATTGATTCAATTTTAATGCAAATTCGTCAGTAGTAAAAAAAATCAAATATTAAAAAAGTAATTTCTGAATAAAATATCCCAATCTTTAAAGCATTCATAAACAATGCATGTTTTCCAGTTCCTTCCTTTGGACCTAACAAACTAACATAACACTTTGAAAATGCAATATTAAGATAAGTGAAGGTAACATTTGATTTTTAGATACTGCGTATCTGACACGTCCATCCGACAGTTCTTCAGTCCTCACCATCGTAGATAAATCCTTGGGAAACAAAACAATTCCTATAATATCCGCGTTAAGTAAAAAAGGTAAAAATATGAATTACTTTTCAATATATTAAAATGTATTTCTTACCCTCAAACGTTATTTGTATAAAGTAGCAGGAACGCAACAGTCTATTTGATATATAGATAGACTTAATTAAAGAGGGAGGATGCTTTATATTTTTGAACATGTTCTCATAGTCCACAAGTATATTACTATTTTTTTTTTTTAAATTCATAATTATTTTCTGAATGAAAATTTGGAGTAAACAAAATAAGAATAAAAAAAAATAATAGAAATAAAGACGAAATAAATATGCCAGTAAACAAATAAAAATATAAAGAGGAAATAATTAAATTTATGTAATAAATTCTAATTCCAATTATCATCTTGCTTCACTTCTCTAGATATATACATTTTTTTTAATCCCCGGGAACACTTTCTTATTTTAACAGTGTTTTGACATTTAAAATGAAACATAGATAAAACAACAATTAAAGATACAAACAAACATAAAACAAAAAATATTTTGTAATCAAGGCTAAGTTTCAGCGTCTTATAACAATATGTCTAAATTCATCTATTTTTTCTTTCTTTTTACGAGGGCATTTGTAAAATTTCGCATAGATGAAAATTTTGGTGATTTGTGTAAGTTCAGGTAATTTACTCGTAACTTTGCAATGACACGTAACAGGTTCGGAAGTATATTCCAGCCGTAACATCGTAAAACAAGATTTATACAGAAATCTCTTGAGCTTGTCATCGACAGAAAGCCTTTCCCCGATGGTTGCAGGTATCATTTGTCTTGCTGTCGTCGCTGTTTTATTATTATTTGACTATGCTGGCACATTTTTTCTTCAAGAAAGTGGTCATGGTAGGAATACGAGAGCAATGGAAATTTGAAATACGAACAGATAAATTATTTCCCTTTAACTTATGTACAAAAAAATTGCTGATAGAGTATATCAATTTATTTTTTTAATGCAGGATATAGAAAATGTATTGTCTTCTAAGAAATTATAAAATGCATTATTTGCAAAAATTAAATAACTAAAAATATAAATATGTGTGTTAATTGTTTTGCTGGATAAAAAAACATACGTGCATTATCATACTAAATACAAATCCAACATTTAGAGTACTGAACAAAGTGCAACTAATATTTACATCCCTTATTTGATATTATATCAACTAATATGAAAAGGAAACACTTTAGGTACCAGTCGTGCAAATATTTAATCCCGAACATATTGATATATATATATTAAAAACAGTGACTACTTTTGTAAGTACTTTTATTTCAAAGGTAAGTACTTGTTTTTGCTTTTTTACGATTTATATTTCAACCTGTTTAAATAATTTGCTGACGATTACATATTCCTATATTGTCGCTAAAAGAAGTCTGAATAAATAAGAAATCGATTAAATAGTAATATAAATTACTCTGTATGACCTGGGTAAGGGCAATGTACTCTATACACTGTATCAACCAAAAAGCTGTATCATATCAATTTGAAATCACAAGATTTTGCCAGAATCAACAGCTAAAAAACTTAAGACTTTTCAACTTTATACACAACCATTCCCCACGATAGATTCAAATCCAGGCTTTTTCATATCGTTGACAGCTGCTTTTTCAATAAAAATGGAACTTGTAAATTTACAAACCTGGTCGTTCGTCATTTTCAAAATTATTCAAAAAAAAGATTCTGATTGCACACACAAGTACTCTGAAGTTGACATCAAAAAGATGCTTGAGTTTCTGATTGACAATATCTACATGTATGTGGTTTTTGGAGACCAGGTATTCCAACAATCTATTGGAATCCCCAAGGGAACCAATTGCGCTCCGTTGTCTCCGTTATTAGCAGATCTATGTTTGTATTCATACGAAGCAGAATTTATTGATTCGATACGCAAGAGCATGCTCTACGTATGAGCAATTTCTAAGACGAGGTAAATTATTGACAAGCAAGTTGATGAAACAAGAATTTCAGCAGTCTCGTTTAAAGTCATCATTTCTATGGTAGATACAATGACCTTGTCAGCAAATGCAATTCATTATTGCGTCAAATGCTGACTGACGTTTTTCATACCAATTGTTGGTGCATTATTTATCAATGAACTGATTACGGATTTTTCCATTATTTCACGATCATGACAATGAGCACAAGGTGAGTGTGACCGGTCAGCAGGGGATGTTCATTCCTCCATGGCACCTGATCCCACCTCTGATGTTTCGGAGGTCCGTGTTTGCCCTGCTCTGGTTTTGTATTATTTTATGGACTTTGAGATTGAAAACTGTTCGTTATCT